CTTCTAAGAGAACGTGGGAAATTATGGCCCTCCAAAATATCCTGACCTTTGCAGCGCTCAGTATATTTTATCATTTTGTTATCTATCGTACACGATGCATTTACTCTCTAGGTAGGATAGGCATTGTAATGTTTGTCACTCTTGCCTTTAATATGTCCCGTATGTATCACTTTTTCCAAGCCATCTTTCCGTATTATTTTCATCATGAAATTTCAACAGTGTCTTTCTGATATAAATATCAGCTTACTTATTCTTTGCATTTTCGCAAAAACTTCGTCATTGCTCTTTTGTAAGGTTCATAATATTCTCAGCATCCTCCAATAGAACAACGTTTCTGTTGCTTCAAATCTTTTCTTCATCTGTGAGCATTGACATATTTGGGAAGTATATTTGAATAATCCTAGACCTATAGTGGTATCAAACCGCCTGCATATGGAAAGAAAATAAGTTCAGTAAATATGCAACAATAGAAAAGGTCGTAAGACAAGTATGTGTCTTCTCAGCGGACATTTCAAATTTCATTAGGCAATTTTGAGAGAATAATTAGTCCTACCAAGATTCATTATGGTTGCCACAGTCTTAAAATAACATATGAATATGGTACAGTGCTGGTAGCACAAAGATTAAAAAAAAAACAAAAAACATCTAGAACTCCTACAGAAGGTAATGAAGTAAAAGCTAGAACAAAGGACACGACATCATTTGTAAGAAGAAAGAAAACATGGTTGTGTTATAATGATCGTACAAGCTCGTATTTTTTTATAATAATATTCAAAAGAAAACACTGGAACAAGAGACTAGTGTAGAAAAGCTATAATCACATGGATACAATAATAGCGAATACTGTAGTTAGTGTGACATAGTTTGCGACACATTTTGCGTCTGCTGGTGTTCTGAGCTGACGGCCCTCCCAAAGATAATGGAAAAGTCTATGCCCACCCAATTTAATGTAGAGTAGGTCGGCATCTTTCTACACAACAAGTTCGGTAGCAAAAGTAACAGCCCAACATACAAATTATAAATACGAGATACTAAAATCTAATACCTAAATTTAATAGATGGAAATTATTTTACAGAGGACTGAAAGTGCGACGCTAAAATCCTAAAAGTCATTGCGATGTCCAAAGGTGCATTGCAGAAGTGCAGCAAAGTTTTAAGAAACAGGAATAATTTGTTAGACGCAAAAAAAGAGTACTGTACTGTTAAGTAATATCAGCCCTCCCCTATTGCAGTGAATACTCGCCAATCATGTCACAGGAAAGGAAGAGACTTGAAGCAACAGAAATATGGATCTACAGAAGGATGCTGAGAATACCATGGACCGAACATTTGTGCAACGACAATTCTTAAGAGAAAATAGAAACAAGGCACACATAATTCGACAGCTGAAATTTATATGAATTTAATAGTCACAGAACAGATTAAAGTTAAGAGGGACAACAAACGCATAAACAAACTATGAAAGTAATGTCAGTAAACTTCAGTAAATGAATCACGTTTTAGGAGTTATAAAAAAGACAAAATTCACTAACGGCTACAAAGGACAGAAAATGGTGGAGAGCCAAGATTGCCTACGACCTGACGGGACACGACACAGAGAAGAATAAGAATAAGATGCTGTTTTCCGAAGTGGATGATATATTATCATTAACAACAGATTTATCAACACAATAAATCTAAAAATCATGATTAATTTCTCAGGAATATTCGGAATCAAATGAATGATCCTTATTTCGGTTCGTTTTCCTGAAGACATAGGTCGACGATCTCTTTTCTTGACAAATATTTCCTGTTTGCACACGATGCATTACTTTTTTTCATTTTTCAGACTGTAGTTAAATGCTGTTTTATCATTCACAGTAAATCCATACAAAAGAACCGGTTGTCGCTAGAAGAGAGGAAGAATGAAAGGAATCTGTTTAGAACATTGATCGATACACAACACCACGTATTGTAAGCAACTTGCTTCTTTTGCTCGACTAATGAGAACATTGTGAATAAAAATGAAATCTCTGTTAAATGTTAAGGGTTAAGGGTTTCACATAAAAATAGTTGTCACTTTAAACATAGTTTTGTATCAAAAGTCCGCGAATCCTTGGAAGTACTGAACACAATGAAATAAATATAACAAAAGTACTTCACAAATAGGCATCTTATAAAGACACACGTACATAATCATGCAAAGACACTCACACGCCACAACCAAACACACACACATATATTAAAAATTATGAAAATTAAAAAAAAAAAAAAATTACCGTGCTCACAAATTCAGCTTTTCAATTCAGTGCATAATTATATGATGGGTAAATAGTAGCAATCTGATATTATTAATTTTGCGCATGCGCGTTATTTGTTTTTGAATTTGTCGACTGAACGTTATAGTAGGGTGTAGTAGGGCAACGTTCGTGAGAAAAGGAGCAATATGGCGCACTAAACTCCGCCAAATATTTGGAAACGGCATTGCGCACTGCTTGGCATTCGCGGCGAAAGCTCTAATATAAATATTTCATAGCGACTGGCTATCAATCTGTGGGCAATCCAGAGGATCCGAAAAGTGTTGGATGAATCAAATGATGATTACGAAGGTACAGCAGCTCAGGAAACTCACTCCAATCCTTCTGATAAGAAGATGACTCTGGAGTTTGTTAGTGAAAGCTTCAGACACAACACGGAGTCCTACATCTGTGTCTTTAGAAGGTAGTAAAAAAAGTGGCTACTGGACAACCATATATGTCGCAACTGCACTCTACACCATGCCACACAAGCAAGAGAACCGCACCATGACTTTCTGCAATCACATCACACCTTACATTTGACAACCTAATTCCCAAGACTGCAACTCTTTTATTGTTATGTGTGCGTTGCAGTTGAGCAAAAAGATGACTTGAAGGCAATTATTATAGCAGCAAGGATTATGGCCACATTCACTAACTGAAACAAGGAGACCGTCCAAAGAAAATGCAGGAGATTCTGATGTAATCTAGTGGCCAAATGGCGATTTCATTGAAGAACTTTCCTCTTTATTATTTTAAGATATTTCTGTAAATTTTTTATATATATATCTGTCAAAATGAGATGTCAGTTTAGTTTTCATTTTGAAATATAAAAATAATGATACAAACAACCATATATGCGTGTGATAACGCGCATATATAAATTTGCAAATATTTTATTTAATTTTCGTGTTAACAAAACAGAATACAATGTGGTAATACAGAGCTATAAATTGTATATTAAGAAATGTACATATTACATTACGTAAGACCCGAGATGTTTGAAAATACTAACGATCGTAACATACAGTTCATCACCATTATATTTACCTGCTGATTGTACTGAATATGAAACTCCAAGTCGTACTTTCGACGTAATGTAATATATATATATAATATATATATATATATATATATATATATATATATATATATATATATATATATATATATTAGATAATATTAAGTTAATTGGTAATCCGCATAGATGCTACCAGGGAGGTTATAAATCCCGTGAGCTCAAAGTAATTAACAGAGCAACAATAATTACTTAACAACTCGGAGATTCAGAAAGCGATGTTAATAATTTTTTTCACGAAACCGATAACATTCGATTTCACTTCATCAAATATTACCATGCCTTTCGGAAGTCTCCGATTTGTTAATATATATATATATATATATATATATATATATATATATATATATATATATATATATATATATATTATCACCATATTTGTACAAGAACGCACAATTGTAAAATTTAAAATCAAACTCAGCGTTGCTACTGCACGCTCCAAAAACAATAACTCATTTCTAATAGCATTTTTCGGATACAACAATACATATATTTTCGTTGTCCTCTTATTATTGAGAGAAAAAACAAGAACAACATCTATTCCATACCTGAAGATGTCTGTAGGAACAGACGAAAGCTTGTAGTAAAAATAAGAACTAATGCAACAGAAATTTATAAAAACAAGGATCTTTTCATTCATAACAGGTTAGGGGTTTTTGTATATTATTTGAATTGTTTGCGACGATGGATTTCTCGCCAATTAAATCATTAACCTTTGTATTTGTTTTTGTATGAATAATTCATGAATTTGTAAATATATATATATATATATATGAGATTCGGAAAATCTACCGCATGTACTCGCGTATCATGCGACGTTTGAAGACCTAATTTTGAAGCTAGTTGGAAGGGGACCGCATCATGCAAGACATAAAATTAATGTCTGTACTGCTGGTCATAGTTACACCGTTGACGAAACTAGATGTCGATAGGCTGTAATCAAAATCTCTTCAAAATTAGGGTCTTCAAATGTTCCATGATACTCCAGTATATATGGTATATTCAATAGAATTCCAGAAAAGATGACTATATTAGTGAAAGACAAAAAATCTTTATCATAAAATCAAATGGCTATTCTTGTGCCGATATCATCGGCCTGTAATCCAGAGGATTCAAATAAGGAACGTTAATATTCTACATGTTGGGTCTGATATCATCGTGAAAATTCTCAACCAGCTATCTCCTGGTTTTGTCATCCGTGTATGGAATAATAAATTCCTACTGGGACAGGTGTGTCCATACAAGACATTCGATAAAAGAAGAGGCCACAATGTATACAAACTCGATGTATGCAGGTCCCTTGACAAAGAAGCCCGGCAAAATGAATTTGAATGTCACGACATGATTTTCATTGCTCGCAATCAGAATAATTACAGACACTTACAGAATTTTCAATCATTGTCTACCGGTTTATCCTCTTATTCTCTTAGCGAATTTCAAGAAGATTGCTTTAACTGCTGTTGTCAGATATTGACAAAAGCATCTTTTCATATGTGTCAGATTGAAAACGATCATGTTAACCTTCCCGATACACCTGAAATAAGAAATGAAAAATATAAAAACGCGGTACATACCGCTTAATTTACCGTGTTCAATTTATGGCCCAGTAAAACTTTCTTCTCAGTTATGTCGCGTTATGTGTGTCAAAAAAGAGTAGAAGACACAGTAAATATGCGGGAAAAGGGTGAAAAGAGACTGAATATGCGAACAAAATGTTGTAAAGTGACAGTAAATATACGGGGTAAGGTTGAAAAGAGACCGTACATATACGGGTAAAGTGGGGAAAAGAGACTGAACATACGCAAAAAAGGGTGAAATGAGAAGGTCAATATACGGGAAATAGGTGAAAAGAGACCGTACATATCCAGAAAAAAGGGTGAAAAGAAATCGAATATACGGGAAAATAGTGAAAAGAGACTGTACATGTACAGGAAACGGGTGAAAAGAAAGAGTAAATAAACGGGAAAGTGTGAAAAGAGACAGTAAATATTCAGGAAAAGTGTGAAAAGAGAGTAAATATACGGGAAAAGGGTGAAAAGAGAGTAAATATACGGGAAAACGGTGGAAAGAGAGTAAATATACGGGAAAAACGGTGAAAAGAGACAGTAAATATACGGAAACTGGTGAAAAAGTCTAAATATGCGGGAAAAGGGTGAAGAGTGACCGTACATATCCAGGGAAAGGGTTAAAAATGAATATACGGGAAAAGGTTGAAAAGAGACAGTAAATATAGGGGAAAAGAGTCTATGCATACACGGGAAAAGGGGGAAAAGAGACAGTAAATATAGGGGAAAAGAGTCCATGCATACACGGGTAAAGGGTGAAAAGAGACAGTAAATATAGGGGAAAAAAGGGTGAAAAGAGATAGTAAATTTACCGGATAAGAATAAAAATAGAAAGTAAATTTGTAGGAAAGGGTGAAAATAGAGAATAAAAGTGCTGGAAAAGCGTGAAATAAAGAAGTTAATGTGTCAGAAAAGAGACAATAAATGTACCAGAAATGGGTGAAGAGAAAGAGTAAATCTTACAGAATGGTGTGGCAAGAAAGTAAGTCGGCAAAGGGTGAAAACAGAGAATAAATATATGCGGGAAAAAGGATGCAAAAAAGAGAGATCTACCGGAACTGATGAAGAGTAGAGAATTAAGAGAAAAGAGAGAATAAGTGTAGACGAAAAAGAACGTAAAGCTAAAAAAAATGTGTTTGGAAGTGAAGGAAGACGGACTATATTCATCGGTAATAGGTGAAAATGAAAATTTAATTTGACGGAAAAATAAAAAATGAGAAACAAATATGCATGCTAATGTGAAAAACGACTATAAATATATCGAGAGAGGGTGAAAAGAGGGAATTAATATTTTTTGTATCTATGTACATTCAATACAAGGCACTAGAACCATTCAAATAGAAAGTTGCTGTACGTGTTGTATGAATATAAAAACAGGGCTAAAAAGTGAAGTTCTTGAGGTCTATGCAGGCAAGATAACGGGTAACTCTAGACGTGAAGTGGTCAATATTTAATTAATGAATAACATTTCAAAGTTCAGTCGGAAACTTTTCAAGTACAATGTGGATAGATTTTTAAAGGAAACAGAGACACAATCCTAAACAGAAAACAGGTGATAAACCTCTAATCCCGTTTAAAAGACCGTGGCGGAGTTTAAACTGGACTATAGTATGACGGAAACCGATGAAAATGGAGAATAAATATGTACCAGACTAGAAAGGTAGGGTGAGGAAAAATACTTGCAGCTATTTATCTGTTACGTCTTTAAACATATTGAAATCACAATATATATAAAGGACAAAATAAATGTAGCCATTTAACTGTTGCGTCATTAAACATGTTGAAATCACAATAAATATAAAGGACAAAATAAATGAAGCCATTTAACTGTTGCGTCTTTAAACATATTAAAATCACAATAAATATAAAGGACAAAATGAGTGTAGGCATTTAACTGTTGCGTCTTTAAACATGTTGAAATCACAATAAATATAAAGGACAAAATAAATAAACTGTTGCGTCTTTAAACATGTTGACAATAAATATAAAGGACTAAATGAGGTATTTAAGCCATTTAACTGTTGCGTCTATTTAAACATGTTGAAATCACAATAAATATAAAGGACAAAATAAATGTAGCCATTTAACTGTTGCGTCTTTAAACATGTTGAAATCACAATAAATATAAAGGACAAAATAAATGTAGCCATTTAACTGTTGCGTCTTTAAACATGTTGAAATCACAATAAATATAAAGGAAATAAAAAATAATAAATAAAAAGGACCATTTAACTGTTACGTCTTTAAACATGTTGAAATCACAATAAATATAAAGGACAAAATATATGTAGCCATTTAACTGTGGCGTCTTTAAACATGTTGAAATCACAATAAATATAAAGGACTAAATAATTGTAGCCATTTAACTGTTGCCTTTTTTAAACATGTTGAAATCACAATAAATATAAAGGACAAAATGAGTGTAGCTATTTAACTGTTGCGTCTTTAAACATGTTGAAATCATAATAAATATAAAGGACAAAATAAATGTAGCCATTTAACTGTTGCGTCTTTAAACATGTTGAAATCACAATAAATATAAAGGACAAAATATATGTAGCCATTTAACTGTTGCGTCTTTAAACATGTTGAAATCATAAAATGAAGGACAAAAATATAAAGGACAAAATATATGTAGCCATTTAACTGTTGCGTCTTTAAACATGTTGAAATCACAATAAATATAAAGGACAAAATGAGTGTAGCCATTTAACTGTTGCGTCTTTAAACATGTTGAAATCACAATAAATATAAAGGACAAAATAAATGTAGCCATTTAACTGTTGCGTCTTTAAACATGTTGAAATCACAATAAATATAAAGGACAAAATAAATGTAGCCATTTAACTGTTGCGTCTTTAAACATGTTGAAATCACAATAAATATAAAGGACAAAATAAATGTAGCCATTTAACTGTTGCGTCTTTAAACATGTTGAAATCACAATAAATATAAAGGACAAAATATATGTAATTTAACTGTTGCGTCTTTAAACATGTTGAAATCACAATAAATATAAAGGACAAAATATATGTAGCCATTTAACTGTTGCGTCTTTAAACATGTTGAAAAAATAAATATAAAATAAAAGGCCATTTAACTGTTGCGTCTTTAAACATGTTGAAATCAAATAAATATAAAAGGACAAAATTAGCCATTTAACTGTTGCGTCTTTAAACATGTTGAAATCACAATAAATATAAAGGACAAAATATATGTAGCCATTTAACTGTTGCGTCTTTAAACATGTTGAAATCACAATAAATATAAAAGGAAAAAATAAATGTAGCCATTTAACTGTTGCGTCTTTAAACATGTTGAAATCACAATAAATATAAAGGACAAAATAATGTAGCCATTTAACTGTTGCGTCTTTAAACATGTTGAAATCACAATAAATATTGAAACATGTTGAAATCAGAATAAATTTAAAAAAGTTGAAATAAATAAATCCAGAAAAAAGGAAAAAAAATATAACTGGGAATGTAATTTAACTGTTGCGTCTTTAAACATGTTGAAAAAAAAGAGTAAATAAAAATAAAAAGGAGAAAGTAAAAAAATTTAAAAGATTTAAATATAGGGGCGTCTTTAAACATGTTGAAATATAGGGGGAAAACGGTGGAAATAAATATAAAAAAAAATAAATGAAGCCATTTAACTGTTGCGTCTTTAAACATGTTGAAATGACAATAGGGAAAAGGACAAAATATATGTAGCCATTTAACTGTTGCGTCTTTAAACATGTTGAAAGGACAATAAAATAAAAAGGACAAAATAAGTCCAACACGGTTGCGTCTTTATGTTGTAAAATAGGGAACAATAAATATAGGGAAAAAATGGGTGTTGTAAAAAAAAATAGTAAATTTACCGGATAAAGAATAAAAAATAAATATAAAGGACAAAATAAAAATAGCCATTTAACTGTTGCGTCTTTAAACATGTTGAAATCACAATAAATATGAAGGACAAAGGACAATATAAAAATTTGCAAAAAGAATAAAATAATAAAAATGCAAAAGATCTAAACTGATGAAGAGTATAAAGGACAAAATAAATGTAGCCATTTAACTGTTGCGTCTTTAAACATGTTTGAAAAGACGGACAATAAATATAAAGGGACAAAAATAAAAAATATGTACAATAAATGTATAAAGGTTGAAATCACAATTAAATATAATGGACAAAATACAATGTAGCCATTTAACTGTTGCGTCGTGTTTTAAACATTTGAAATCACAATAAATATAAAGGACAAAATAAAATCAGAAAACAGCCATTTAATCCCGTTTTGCGTCTTTAAACATGTTGAAAACAATAAATATAAAAAGATGAAATGGAGAAAAATGTAAGACTAGAAAGCCATTTAACTGTTGCGTCTTTAAACATGTTGACACAAAAAAAAATAAAATGTAGGCATTTAACTGTTGCGTCTTTAAAGCATGTTGAAATTAAATTGTTGCCATTTAACTGTTTAAACTTTAAACATTTGAAATCACAAAAATATAAAGGACAAAATAAATGTAGCCATTTAACTGTTGCGTCTTTTAAACATGTTGAAATCACAATAAATATTTAAACATTTGCGTCTTTTGAAATCACAATAAATATAAAGGACAAAATAATGTAGCCATTTTAACTGTTGCGTCTTTAAACATATTGAAATAGCCACATCACAATAAATATAAAGGACAAAAAATAGCCATTTAACTGTTGCGTCTTTAAACATGTTGAAATCACAATAAATATAAAGGACAAAATATATGTAGCCATTTAACTGTTGCGTCTTTAAACATGTTGAAATCACAATAAATATAAAGGACAAAATAAATGTAGCCATTTAACAGTTGCGTCTTCAATCATGTTGAAATTACAATAAATATAAAGGACAAAATAAATGTAGCCATTTAACTGTTTTTAAACAACAATAAATATAAAGGACAAAATAAATGTAGCCATTTAACTGTTGCGTCTTTAAACATGTTGAAATCACAATAAATATAAAGGACAAAATAAATGTAGCCATTTAACTGTTGCGTCTTTAAACATGTTGAAATCACAATAAATATAAAGGACAAAATATATGTAGCCATTTAACTGTTGCGTCTTTAAACATGTTGAAATCACAATAAATATAAAGGACAAAATATATGTAGCCATTTAACTGTTGCGTCTTTAAACATGTTGAAATCACAATAAATATAAAGGACAAAATAATTGTAGCCATTTAACTGTTGCGTCTTTAAACAAACAAATCACAATAAAATCACAAAAATATAAAGGACTTTAAAATTTTAAATCACAATAAAGCCATTTAACTGTTGCGTCTTTAAACATGTTGAAATCACAATAAATATAAAGGACAAAATGAGTGTAGCCATTTAACTGTTGCGTCTTTAAACATGTTGAAATCACAATAAATATAAAGGACAAAATATATTTAGTCCATTTAACTGTTGCGTCTTTAAACATGTTGAAATCACAATAAATATAAAGGACAAAAATAAAAATTTATGTCTTTAAACATGGAAATCACAATAAATATAAAGGACAAAATATATGTAGCCATTTAACTGTTGCGTCTTTTAAACATGTTGAAATCACAATAAATATAAAGGACAAAATAAATGAACATTTAACTGTTGCGTCTTTAAACATGTTGAAATCACAACAAATATAAAGGACAAAATAAATGTAGCCATTTAACTGTTGCGTCTTTAAACATTTTGAAATCACAATAA